GGGCGGCCGACTTCAGCCAGGTCACGATCTCGCGGTCCGGGAGTTCGAGCCCCGCGTCGGGCTCTGGGCTGATGGCTCAGAGCCTGGAGCCTGTTTCCGATTCTGTGTCTCCCTCTCTCTCTGCCCCTCCCCCGTTCATGCTCTGTCTCTCTCTGTCCCAAAAATAAATAAACGTTGAAAAAAAACATTAAATAAAAAAGAAATCCCACATGAGTTCATGCTGAGAAAAACCAAACCAGGGGCACCCGGGTGGCTCAGTTGGCGAAGCGTCCGACTTCGGCTTAGGTCATGATCTCGCGGTTCGTGGGTTCGAGCCCCGCGTCGGGCTCTGTGCTGACGGCTCGGAGCCTGGAGCCTGCTTGGGATTCCGTGTCTCCTTCTCTCTCTCGGACGGACGCTTAACCGACTGAGCCACCCAGGCGCCCCTGACATACAACGTTATATTGATTTCAGGCATACAACGTAGTGATTTGACAATTACGTACGGTACCAAACTCTCACCACGACAGGTGTAGTCACCCTCTGTGGGCGCCACTCTTTTTCAACAAGAGCGCTAAGGGGGAACAAAGCAGCCCGGGGGGTGGGTTTGTCTCGTTACGTCTTTATTTTATAAGTTCAGATTTACAACTGTACTTAAGGGCGATTGATGATCTCGCTGAATCCTCACGACTCCCCCATGGCCAGGAGCCACCTACTATCACCCGCTTCACAGACGGGACACGGAGGCTCAAAGGTAAGGAACCTCACAGGTGGTACAGCGAGAAAGTGGCTGAGACAGAGCTCCCCCTTGGATCTCCCTGGATCCAAAGCCTGCTGTCTGCTCCGCTCTGTTGGTCTACCTGTCCAGGAGGAGGCTAGTTGTATGGCTCCCTGCCTGTTACTACATTTGTGCGGGCGTGTGGTTGTGTGACAACAGTAGCTGCGGCCTGGAATTGTTTCAACGGTCCTCACTGATTCAGGAGCTTGAAAGGAGAGTCAAGGAGCAATTTCATCAACAGCTGAATTGTTACCAACGACCACAAGTACTCTCATTTCTTTTTTTTTTTTCTCTGTAACAAAGACGAAAGCCGGACGAGAAGCACGCAACGTTTACAACGTACGCTAAAATCAACCGAACCGCGGTGTGATTATGACTGGTGCATTCGCTGGTTTTTGCCTGACCAGCCAGAAGGTTCTGAAGCGGGAGCAACGGCCCAGCTGATGGGTCTGAGGCTGAGCAGAGCCCGGCTCCCAGGGGCCGTGGCAGAGTGCTTACGTACACCGTCCTACACAAATGGATTTGCCCAGCTGGAGAGTCCGGAAGGATCTGTGCTTGGTTATAATCCCTCCCTATCTGTGACACATCGACGACCGTTCCAGCACAGACATAGAACTGATACCCCCCAAACTCGTCAGTTCAGTAGCTGATGAGTGGTCTCCAGGGTTAGCATTTCACATAGAGCACG